TACTGTCCACTATAACTAAAGATTATTTTTTGTTACTATTTTTTATTTACTTACTTGTTTGTATGTTACTACATGGAACAATAACAATTATTTATTGCTACGATTGATATTTTAACCATCCACAACCTAAGTGCTATTTGCAAATGGCGTATATTGTTGAAATTACAATGTTTTGCATAAATGTGACAAAAGACCGACAAGGACGAACAAACAGAATAACGATAAAAGACAAGAGCAAGGAATGCATGAATGTTGTTGGGACATATATCAGTTGTTCCGATACAGGAAGTTATATAAATTCATGGGCATCCATATACAAAACAATACATAACTTAAACTGATTGATATCTATCATCCAATCATCCATTTTAGGTTTATTTTTGAAATTTAATACCAAATAATTACTCGCTTGGTCAATTTAAATGTATTTAAAATAATGATGTTAATAAAATGCATAGTATAATAGTTATCAAAGAATGATCAGTTGTTAGAAAAGCATTGAAATTTTTAAATTCTTACTGTTCAACATAAGAAGTTATCGGAATAAGTTTCTTCGTTGAAATCTATGGCAAATAGAAAATTGTTTGCAAACTTTTTACCTTCCTATTTTATTTTAGGCTTCTTTTTCCTATGATTTTCTACATCTAACTTATTTTTTCCTTATCCCTCTGATCATTTTAGATTCATTTCTTTAGAAATGATCGAGGATTAAAAACTGGAGGATTGAGAAATAAAATATGAAAAAAAATCGAATGACAAATTTAGGTATTGAAAAAAATAAAAATGAGCTAGATAAACGAACAATCTGTTAAATGATGAAAAAATAAATAAACATCATCATCACTTGTTTGTTGGATGATTCAATAATGTCAAATATTGGTTTCAAATTTTTCGCTTTTCTAATTCAGGTAAGAGAAAAAAATCGGAATTATCCGGTAACTCTGCTTTTTTTGTTATTGAAAATTTTTGACGTAGGCATGTTTAAGTGATTCTGATACCAGAAGCAGAAATTACAATGCGTTGTATATATCTATATATATATTTTTTGGTATCGTTTAGACCATAAATCTTGTAATTTCAATTCCAACATTTTTTTTTTTTTTGAAAACACAAAATGAAGAAATGGTCTAAATTAATTTTTAATTATTAATTAAGCATTAATTATGCATACTATTAATTTACGATAGTAAATGACGAATCAGTGAATTGCATATGACAGAGAATGATCTAACAGTAAGTAAATTAATACAAATATTAATAATATGAGAATGAAGAAAATTGCATTAAAAAATAAATATGATGAAAATCTTAATTTAATGAAGTAATAATGATCATAATAATGATGATTATTATGATAATACTAATGATGACGATTACAATAGTATTGATGGTGATGATGATACTGATAATGGTGAAAATTTGCATATAACTTTTTTTGTAGCCAATAGAAAGAGCTTAAATTCCATTTTTGCTCGATTCATTCACTCTGCTCATATTTAACTTATTTGGCCATATTACAATTATATATCCAAATTTTTTCCATTGATCAAATCTTTGATGATTAATTGCTGAATATTCAACAAAAATTACTTCATTATTTGTTAAAATAAACAAGAAAAGTAAACAGATGATGATTCGTCAAAATGTATTAAATTTTAAAACTAATACAACTAAGATTTCCTTCTTCCTTCCTCCTTCATTCCTCTCTTTTTTCCTTCTTTCCTTCCTTCCTTCCTCTCTTATCCCACCTATTTATATCATATTTATCATATATGGTGTTTGTATGCATTTTGTAAATGATTCTGAATTGATAATATATGAGCTAATACAACTATGATTTCATACTTTTTTTTTCCTCAAAATTAATTCTAATTAAGATAACAATATATAAATTAATTGAAATTATCAGAATTAAGGAGGAAGAAATTTTCTTTTTTATTTGTAATAAAATATTTCCTTGGTATATCACAATAGATTATCATTTATTCAATAATTAATTGTTAATCTTATCATTCAATAATTAATTATTGTTAACCCTATCATCATTTTCCAGATAATCAATCACTAATTGCAAAATAACTGATCAATCATTAATTGCAAAACAACTGAAACTCATTAATTGTAAAACTCAATCATTAATTGTAAAACAACTGAAACTACAACGGATTCCTATGATAATAACACGAATAATGAAATATAGCTTAACATTGATGATAAAATTAGAAGAAATTTAAGTTTATCAGATTGCTTGATGATATTTGATATAGAGCAATATTCATTAATTCATTAAGTAAACAATAACATAGTGCAACATATTTTAATCATACTTTTTTTCTCTTCAAATTTTCAATTTAAAAAGTTTTAAAAATGAATTAAAAGATATACCTGTATAAAATGATGATGACTGTCGCATAGTAGTATTTGCGGTAAATTTAGACAATGTTATTGTTGCTATTGATGAAGAATCAGTGATTGTGGTTGAATTTGATGATTGCTGAGGATATTGGCAAGAAGAATGTTGATAATTCGTACTGATCATTATTATCCACAACAGCCTATATTTAACAGACTCACTTATGGAAGTATGTAAATTATTTCGATTGACAGGAACTATTTGTCATAGTGTATGATTCATAAATGCATCACTTATCTCTAACCAAAAAAAAAAAAGTAGAAGAGAAAAAAAAGAAGCATAAATAGTTTTAAAAAAAGTAAGAAAAAAAATTAAAATTAAATTTTATTTATATAAGCTATCAAATATTTAATCAAATTTTATCAATTATAGCTTTAAAAATTATCAATTTTATCAATTATAATTGCTGTGATTGTGTAATTAAAAAAATTTATAAAAATTCTTCCAAAACATTTTAAAATTTTACATATATAATATATTAAATTAGTTCAGTATTTTGTTTTACGAGAAATGATAGAATGCTAATTAATCGAATCAGCTGATACTTTAATTAGTGCAGTATCTTTGTTTTACGAAAAAAGAGTGAAAAAGAATGAGAAATAATGGAATGGTAATAAATCGAAATGGCTGGTACTTCATTACAATAGTCAATTATTTATAAATTAAATAGATTAAATAACAAATCCTTCAATAAATTAAATATATTAAATGATTAACATTTCAATAAAATTAAATATATTAAATGGTAAATTAATTAATTAATTAATTAAATTTGGAAATAATAATTTTTATTACAAAAACATTAAGTAATAACGCTATTATAACCAAAATAAATTTGTTGGATAAATAAAGTTATTTGATCAATAATGATCTAATTTTTTCCTTTTTTTTTCCCACTATATGCAAATTATTTATCTTATCCTAGAATTTTCTGCAAAAAAAAATGAAAGAATAAATCATAAAATATAAATATATTTTTTGCATATAAATAATTAACGAAATTTAATTAAATTTTTGTTTAGAAATTAATAAATTCTTCTTTTAGCTTAAATTTTAATTCTTTAAAATAGCCTATTTTTTTCTCTCTTTTTTAATTAATTAAAAATTAAATTAAATTTAAATTATATTAATCGAATACTAACAATCGTGTTATTTTCATCATTTATGTGAACATCCATTATTGGTGGTAGCATGTAACAATAGTAACATCATTATCAACATCATCATCATCCACCATTTTGCAAGATCCAATCAACAGCGTTGTATTCGAAATAAATGATACCGTATGACTAAATGATGCGATTTATATTACATTTACTAACATATATATTCATGTAGCATTTATTAATCCGAATAGAATTACCTTAATACTCTATTACTTGATATCTTTTCAGTTAATTTATCCATTAATTAATTTTATTTTAAAAAAATCAAAATATTAATAATGCAATAAATAATGAAATTAAATAATCATAATTTTCATTTTTCTGATATTATTGGTATCGCATTTTCTTTTTGCTATTTTCCCTGATGAAATTTTATTACTTTAAATATAAGATATAATTAATGCTAAATTATGCAATATTAGATTTGTAAAAAAGCATAGTTAATAATATTATTTGTAAATATTAACCAATTTTTTATTTCCCTTTTTTTCCAAAACTAAATTTTATATAGCATCGAAAAAGTTTATTAAACTGCAAATAATACATTAATTAGTGTAATTTTGTAATTACTTTGATTAAACTTCATTAATTGTAAGATAATCATTTATTGAATGTTAAATGAACATAAATATAATTAATATAATTAAATAATATAAATATAATAAATATAATTCTATGAGAAAATTTTCCTCTCAGATACTTTTCCTTTTATTATTTTAGAAAAGAAATAAATATGTATGTAATTCATTTTTTACGATAGAAATTTTTTGAACAGTTAATTTTAATTATAGGAAGCTTAAAATTTTAAGCAAAAGAAGCGATCGATCCATTTAAGAAAATCTTATCAAGTTGGATAGTTTCGTCTGATCAGTTTTTTTTCATTTATTCAATCAGTTTATTTTTTCACCTAAATTATTTCCCTCATTTTGTTTATCCATTAATATTTTATAATTTAAATACTGTTGAATAATCATGAATTCGCATCTTAAGCATTGTAGTTTTATTTGTTATTGTTGCTATTATTATTGTTGTTTTTATCGTTGTTGTTATTGTTGTTGTTGTTGGTGTTGTTGTTGTTGCTGTTGTCGTTATTGTAAGAACAAATGATCATAATAACATTTTAAATCATTTTATTACAAAGGAAATATTTAAATTTACAATAATGAATAGTTAAAAGAGAAAAGAAAATTGATTTATTGCATAAATGAAGCTTATCATCAATTGTATCCATTTGATAAAACGTAAGTATGACCTCTCTAAAAATATGCTCATTTATTCTTTCGATCTCTTTCTTTTTTCAAATAGTCGATTTATGATTTTCCAGGAATATTATCATTTACATTTATCATACAAGATACAAAAAAATGTATAAAATTATCTGGATTGAATAACGCATGAAATATCAAAGTCTATTGTTGCCTTTATTTGAAATTCATTTGAAATTGATCGTATCCATTAAAGCGTAGATCAGAATCTTCTCCAAACATTCCATATAAAGACGACCCTACCATTCCTGCACTATCATTAGGTTGTTGAAGATATTGCGGTAATGGCTGAGCATCTTGTGGGTAATGCGAATATTGAGGATAAGGAAAATATAGAAATGGAAAATGTTGCGGAAACGGAGGATATTGTGGAACACGAGGAGGTTGTTGATAAATAGATGGACACCACCAATTTTTGGCTTGGTATGGTGGTATTACCGATTGTGGTGCTTGAGATGCTGATGCTGTTGGTGATGCTGATGTTTGCGGTACTGATGCTCCTGGTGATGGTGGTGCTGATGCTGCCGATGCTGGTGTTGGTGCTATTGGTGCTGACGCTGGCATTAGTATCTTCGTTGGGAAGCAAAATGGAGGGAATGATGGAAATGGAAATGGTGGACCAAACCACATTTTTCCTTTACCGTTTAATTGTTCGAATGTTAGACCTGTAATAGTTCATTTGTAGATTTCAAAAATAAAAGTATAATTTCGTATTTTAGCTCAAAAACCTATTCGAAAACTGTTTTCATGAAATTTTCAAAAAAATTATTGCATTGATTTATTTTTCGTTATTTTCACAACTAATTGCAAAAGTTCCTCAACTGAATAGAATTTTGCTTACTAATTAGAATAAAATTTTTATTAACCATAATTATCTTTTTACCTGGTGAAACCTTAACATAACATTGTGTTACTTCCAGAAGAAGTATGAAAAAAATCCATCTTAATGAATAATCCATTATTGTTTAGCAATTTGATTGAGCAGGATTTAAACCAGCAAATTATATTGTTTATTTTGTTATAAGTTGATTCTAATTCTTCCTTTAAAAATAAAACAATAATAATTTTTAGATATCACTTAAGTAGACAGTACGATAATTATTTTTATAACGAGGATAAGATAAGAAAAGAAAAATTCGTTCTTTTAGAAATTATACATAACACACATATACGTATATTATAATATTAAAAGCGGATGATATATGATGATATGATAGTTCAATTTTTTTTCTTACAAATTTAATTATAGATAAAATAAATTGTTAAATAATTTTCAATTTGAAAAAAAATTCTCATTAATATTTATAGTCGATGATGATGCATATATCTTTCAATGACTTCTTAATAATTTCACAACTGTCTCCTAACTTAATTAACAACTTTACTCTTTTGTTTAGCCGATATCCCATTAACTGGTCATTTATTGTCAATTTTTCTTTATTTTGAATTATAGCTCCCTTTTTGTTTGTAAATTCAATTATATCTTTATTTATATTTTTCCATTCACGAATTGTAACTTTTCCAACGATCGGCAAAAAAAGCA